AGAAAACAGTTGCTTAGCTAAATAAATGCATTTAGGTAAAAAGAATGAGATAGCTCCATGAATAATCTCCAAACTAAATCATTAAGTGAAAAAGTCAGGTGCATACATTTAAAAAAATTATATTCATATATGCTTCTGGAGTGTATCCAAAAACCTGGTTATAATGGTTGTCCCTAGGTTGGGGAACTGGGTAGCCAGGGACAAGGGTGGGCAGCAACTGCTTCTCAAGGAGCACCCTTTTGTATTCTTTTGAATTTTGTACCATATGTAAACAATACCTGCTTAAAAAGTACAATAATAACAAAAGATAGCCACTGTGAGTTATACTCCAAAATTAACACAACTGATTAGAACTGGGTTATCCAAGTTTTCCTTGGATAAGAAGAATAGATCCCAAGACTTTGCTGTAAGTCGTGTCTGAGCGTATTAAGGTGTCTGAAGAGGGAATGCATCTGGGAGAAGGGCAGTGAGCTACAGCCTTGCAGAGCAAACTTGTTCAGTGCACCGGCCAGTGGAGAAATCTTGACCAAACCAACCAACTTTGAGTTCTTGGTCCAGTAGCAAGCGATAGTTGTTCCATCCAAAAGGACGTAGAAGATGGAAACATATGTGCCCCATCCTCCCACTAACACACTTCCTGGAGAAGGGTCCCCTGCTGAGAAAGGATGCTGCATGACCAAGAGGGTCTTTCCTCCCACAACTCAATCTGAACATTTGAGTCACAGCTGCCACTAGGCAAGGCCACCCTGACACTGGAGGTGCTCCTGCTTGGATTCCCATTGGTGAGGTCATCCCTGTTGTCTCTTCATTCATCTCTGGAGTTCCCAATAAACTCATTGTGTGTCTATAACAAGTTTTCACTTGGCCATAGAGAAATGAGAAAAACACAGAATAGTCACTTTTTTAAACTATTAATTTGTTGACTTTTTGTGCTGTCAAAATGGCTTCCATAAAATTCTAAGGCTTGGTACCAATGATATTTCTTGTGGTATTTAATCAATTCCTTCTCTTCCAATTTCCATATTCACAGAGCCTGCTTAAGAGTGTTATTTGACTTTTCCTATGCGTAAGGAGTGAATGCACCGGCCAGTCATGACTTCTAAGTATTCTGATTTCTGGGTCAGTTGCTTCTATTGTAAATAAGTAAATGTTCTGGCATTGTGGTGTTTGGACATCTGCCTCAAGATCGTTTGATGTGCATATGCCCACAGGAGAGAGATTTGCTCTCAGAGTTTACCGTCCGTAAGACCAGGAGCAGCCCCCAGCTTGTGGAAAACTTACAACCCTCTGCCAACTCCACTACTCCTAGGCTCACCCCCACCCTCAAAACAGACGGGAGCAAATAATAGAAAGTCTATCACTGTGCCCAGAAGTCTAATAAAATCTACCGTGTCTAAGATATGATACGCTGCACATCAGCCAAGCCTTTACTCATTCACACTTTCTGATTAGAAGCAAAACTTAGCAAGTTTGAGCAGGTCATCTATTTCTGAAGACACATTATTATTGACCGTGAATGCTAAATTATACAGACTCCAGAAGAATTATTTTAGTCATTGTCTAAAAAGTATATGGACATATTTGTTTGGCATTTGCATAAAGAAATATTAGAGGGAAACACTAGAAACTATTCAAGCTGAGAGGGACAGGATGGGGACAGGAACAGGAGTGATACTTCCTGTGGAAAACCTTTTAAATCATTTTGGTTTTTGGACCACAGGAATATAGTTCCCATTCAAATAAGAAAATGTAACGTCTATATCTATGTGGAGAGTTGGAAGCTTTTTGCATGAGGCATTAAGAGATGCCACAGTTTTGGTTTTCTGTGTGCCCTCAGCAGGCGACAAAATCAGATCCCTGCCTAGATCAAGGAGTCCTGGGCATTAGTATTTGTAATAACCGTGTCTTCCAGTTCTGTATTTGATGCTTCAGCATCTTGGGGCCTTGCTGACCTTGGAGGGGATGCCCCTCCCAGGATTAGCCAGTTCTTGGAGATAGTAAACAACCCGCCTTTGAGTGTGCCTTTCATATGCAAACCAGCCAATCCAGAGCCCACACCCCACCACCTCCTTTATGGGTCTCACACTCTGGCCACTGTCCATCTGCCCTCATCTCTCCAGGGCCAGTAGCTGACAGCTAGGGCAGCCCCTGTGCCCCAGCACCCACTGAAATTACTCAGCCTTACCCTGCCTCATCTGTTTCTCCCCGTAGAAACCACAATAGAGGCTCTTGCCCACAGTTCCTCCCGCTCCCTCTGCTTCCTTATTGGCCCTGGTGCTTCCCCATGTGGCCCTGCATGGTGTGATGTGCCCCCTCCTCTTGAGATCTGTGAGTAACAAAGCATGTTTTCAATGGCAATCATCTCCTGACTTGCTGGCCTTGCCATACTTGAATAACAAAAAAATACACATTTTAAAACAGTATGAGCCTAGAGTAAAATACTGGTCTGCTGGAGGTACTTTAGCACAGCCAACCTGGGACAGAAATTTCACTTGCAATAAAAATGCCTGTAATTTGACAGGACACCTCCTTAAATGAAGACCAAAAATGCATTCTGTTCTCAGGAGGAGAACGTGGCAAAGGTTAGGATACTCTGCTCAGGGCAGTCTGGCTGCCAACATCCCTGCATGTATTTCTATTAATGAATGTCAGAGCCACGAGAACTGTGGGTTTGTTAATGAGCCCCCAGGCTGCTCAATTACCAGGTAGCTTGTGCTTGTCTGCTGTCCCACAATGAGGGCAAGCACCGCCCAGCAGGTCAGTTCTCCAGGCACCATCAGAGGGCAGATCTACATCAGGTCCACACTGTGCATCTTGCACTTCCAGCAAGCCTCGTATGTGAAATCCAGCATCTATTTATGAAATAATCAGAGAGGGGACAATTCCTCTGCCTACAAACAGCATTTGCCGAATGTTCCTTTCGAGTAGAAAACCTAAGCGATTTAAATTATTTGATTTGCCAAAAAAATTGTTTTGGTTGCCTACCACTTTGCAGGAGCCTGTCTAATGTAGTAAGTGAGTTTCACGACCATAGTCCTCACACAACTGTCACTAATAAAGGGGAGCGTCTGCCAAGGGTCCCCTGGTTGCCAGAGCAGCATGAGGGACATGTCACCGAGCAAATAAGGAGAGAAGCAGTTGTTCTCAAGCAGTCTCTGGAGAAACGTGCGGGCCAGCCTGCAAACTTCACGCATGCCCCGCAACTCCTCTGCTTTGGCTCTCTAGACTGATGGTCCAGGGGCTGAAGAGTCCTGATTCTCTTACTTGGTCAAGTTTCTTGTTTTGTTTTTTGCAACACTCAAAATTGGGATGTTTCCCATAAAAAGTCAGATTTCTAGCTAGTTATTGAAAAACTGGGCCATCTGGCCACAGTGGGCCCCCATTACCAGGTGAAATGACCAGCTAAACCGAGCAGCAGTAACTGCTCCCTTACACAGCACATGAGCTCACCATCTGCCTCAGTCCCCACTGCTCCATACTGGCCTTCTCACCGTGAGGCTGAGTGCTAGTGATGAATAAATAAAAAGCAATAACATATGCTGTAGAATATGAGGAAGCCATTTGATTTAAAACTAATTTAGCCTGATCTTGTTTTTCCAGAAAGGCCTGATGTAGTCTGTTGAGCATGGCTTGTACATCTGCTTTAACATTTACAGTGTCCCAAAGCCAAGAATGATGCCCTTAAAATAGGGATGTATGAACAACTAAATAAATAAAGATAATTTTGAACAGTGAAAAAAAAATGGGGATGTATGCCTCCCCCATATCATCATTTCTTTAAAGATAAGCATTTCTTCCCAGAAACTAAGGGTTAATTACTGGCCTGTTGTGCTCATCGTGTGACCATGGACCTGCCGTGCTAGGAAAGCATCTTGTGACTGGAGTAAGAGATATTCCTGTCGTATGTGATATATGTTCCTGGTTCCAGGACCGCACACCACCACTCTGTACACCCTGCTTCTTCAGAGCGCTTCCTCCCTTGAAGGTCGTTCTCTCCTGGGCTACAGTCCTCAAAACGGGCTCATATAAGAAACTCACCCCCATGTTGATTTATAGATTGATTATGGATTGTTTGTGTCGACACTAGTAACCATTTATTACTGCACTTAATGAAATATTTGTCTGTACTTATTGTTCTTTCAAATGTGGGAACATGAAGAACAGGCCTAGAAGACCATGTGTCTCCAGAGAAAAATGGAAGCTAGAGAGCGTTTTGACGTGTACTCTGGTAACGCAAACGTTCAATGACCTGACCCCTTGTTTAGAGATCCCGCCATGCAGTCATGGGACGTGAGGCTGCTCAAGTGGAAGTGAAGGGGGCCGGGAGCCCACTTTGGGTCCTGACGGGGAGACACAGCCCAAGTAGGCAGATGAGCTCGGGAAGCTGCCATCACAGCGGCCTGACAGCTGGGGAGAAGCCCCTCTGCGGAACATGGGTAATGAGGACAACCCGGGAATCCACGACAGACCTCGTATGGTAATTAACTGAACAGGGCACTGGACTCCAACCTTAGCTGCCAGGCAAGAAGCCCGATCCTGCACAGAACCCCATCTCACCCTTCGAGAGAAGAAAGGTGACTGGCCAACCCCCGTCAGCCACCTGCTGGCCTGTGTGAAGGCAGGATGCATGACACTGAACACAGCTGCAAGCAAGAAAGGAAACGCAAGATCCACGGGCATCCCAGCCATGCAGCGGGTCACAGCAGGGGTTCCTGTGGCTGCTGAGGAGGAACACAGAGACGGGAAAACCCTCAGTGTAAACAGCAGCCCAGGCTGTCTGGTCACTTTTCAGTTTGGGCAGATTACTCCCTGGAGTGAGAACAGAACACGTTCCCTAAATAACTATAAGGCAAGATGCTCAGCGCCAGCCCTGAGGGGGAGTGTCTAGTCTCCACCCCTCCCCAGCCACACCTCTATACAGGAACACCTTAGACTGACAAAAGTAGAGTAATATATTTTATTTAATTAAAATAGATTAAAAAACAGGCTGTGTAAAAGAATTAGGATTCTCAATAATTTACTATTATTTACACTAGCAAATGTGGGTCGTTAGTAGACACTGGGAGAGACAAACGGGCAGGACGCAGACCCTCCCCCAGGACCCAGGGAGCCCGCGGAGACTCAGGCTCCCTCCTGATCTGTCCTCTCGGGGCACTATGGCAGCCGCACCAGTGAAGCTGGGTGGACAGCAGAGGGGCGAGCCTCAGACGGCCCGGGGACCACTCTGGAGGCTGCAGGGATGCGGGCGGGCCAGGCAGGAATTCTGTTCCTCTTGAGGAGAATCATTGCCTCTCAGTCTGGGCTCAATGGGCCCCTGACCCCGGGGCCCCACTCCCCATTCACGACTAACCTTCTGTAAACACTCCCTTAGGCTGACACAAAGCCCAGAGTTTCCAGATAGAAGATGAAAAACAGAAACGAAAGCCACATATCCTGGTTCCCAGGGAAATCCGGATTACCTAACATGCCCTGCCCACGGGTCCAGAACCTGGCAACTCATCAAAATCGCCCCAAAGTGTTTTGTGCGCTTGTGGTGTGAGGGAACGGTGGGGAGGGAGGGGAGGCCAGCGATCCTGGGCCACGGTACCAAGAGGAAGGCTCCTCCCCAGGAAGCAGTGACAGCGAAGGAGGACCCAGGAGAGGCCCTGGGGGTCCTGCAGGCACTTGCGGCTCCACACACGGTGGGGAGCGAGTCTCAGGAACGCAGAAACAGGCTGGTTGCGCCAGTGGAGATGGAAGGCCACTCCGAAGCAGCAGGCCATGTGGGGACTCCCATGACCTGATCTGGCTACTGGAAACCTTGGGGTCAGCCCTGACCCTGGAGACCCCTGCTGTGCCACTCACAGGACACAGGACACGCGGGCCTCCTGGGTGCAGGCTGCCGGGTGCGGCCTGGGAGCAGAGCCCGGCTGGCCCCTGCAGGCACCGCCAGACCGAGGCCCGGGACAGAAGCTCTGGCCTTTGGAGCTGGTGCAGTGGACAGCAGCAGAAGCAGCAGTCGAGGGCTGCAGATGTGGGGCCCACTGGCGATTCAATCCAAAATGTCCGTCTCAAAGGGGACCAGGTGGTAATAGGACAGGTTGGTGACATAAGCTGCTGGGTCATCGCCATCCTCCAGTTCTGAGGTAAACTCACTGCCGTTCTCAAACCTGAAACGGGAAAAGACAGAGGTGAGGGCTGGAGCTGCTCACTGACCCTTGACCCCACCAAAGTGGAGAAAGAAAGGGCAAAAGGTCATTGGCAGGAGGGCACTTAGGGATCAACGCCAAGCACAACGGAAGGGCTTTCCAGGATGCGGTCACACTGCGCAGGCCCAGTGGACGCACGGTCTCGTCAGTGTGCATTTAGGAAGGACGTGATTACACGTTAGGTGAAATGAACCCAATGCCAAACTGTCATGGCTCCGGCTTCCAGGGCCTCAGAGGCTGCTCTCCATGCTCATTGCCCATCATTTACTGAGGCGCTCATTGCTTCATTCACAGGGTGATTCCTTCTCTCTAGGGGCGGCTGTGTGTCGAGTCTGGGACACACCTGAACAAGCCAGGCAGGGCCTGTCTTTGGGAGCAGACACCTCCCTGTGCTGGCCCTACAGACAACGGCAGAGATGGGCGGGAAGCTACTGCACCCGCTCACCCCCCAACTGCCCCCTGTGCGCTGACGAGGGGGCTGGCGCAGGGGCAGGCAGAGGGCCGGCAGGGGTCAGCGGAGGGAGGGTTCCTTTGGGGGGTGGGCACCCTCGTTTGGGTCCATGTATTCAGTGAGGGGAGTTTACACGGGGGAGGGGAGGCAGGAAGAGCTCAGGGAATAACACGTACCCCAAATGTAAGGTGACACAAATATCTTCCTGGTCTTGATTCCCCCATGAACTGAAAACATCTCCACCCCGTCTAACCCAGACGTGGCCTCCTAAGCTAGAAAAGACTCCAAATTTTTAAAAATGCATAACAGAGAGAGAAATGTGCTTTTTCCGTTTTCCTTGACTGAGCATCAGTCTGAACAAAATAGGCCAGTGGGGTGGGGAAGGAACTGCTCTCCCAGGATGGGGGGAGCCCTTGGGCCCCAGCGCCCATGTTCCTGCCTTGATTCCTGGCGTTCAAAGTGTCGCTGACCAGTCAACAGTTGTCGGAGCTCAACTACACCTAGAAAGCTCTGGAGTGACAGAAAAGGACACAAACTGACCAGCAGCCCAGCAACGAGCGTCTGACTGGGCTTCCCCAGCCAGGGAGCCGCCGGAGGCAGCGCCGCCCCTGCATCAAGAGCGCACAGTGAGAATCCCACTGACTCCAAACGCGCTCCAAGGGGCACGCTTCCTCCAGGTCCAGGCTGCAGGTTCAAAGTCGAGCATGAGCTGATCACGGCTTTGAAATTGGACAGAAACGGCCAGAGGTGGGTCTCCCTTTAACTCCACAGTGAGGCGTGTGTGTGGAGATGCAGGGGCCTTGACATCTGTGCCCTCAGGAGAGAGCTCAGGGCCCAACTCCCCTCCCCATGCTCCCTGCCCTGGTGGCACCAGGTTGCCGAGAAAGACATGGAACTGTGGACAGAAAAGTGTGTGCAGCCTGCGAGGCAGCGGGTCTCACGGAGACAAGACCAGCTCTCCAACTTTACACAGGCTGTTACATCTCTTCCCTCAGCCAGCGCTGGCCTGAAACCACAGGGGTCTCGCGGGTGTGGGGCAAGGCTCAAGGCGGGCAAGGGCCAGGCCAGATGCACCGCAGATGGCTTCCTGCCCCTGCTCCTCCTCCTGTCCTCGGATCAGATGACCCTGAGACCCTAGGGGGGAAAGGGCAGCTAGGATGCTCAGGAAACGCGTCACCAGGCTGAGTCCAGGGTCCTCATCCATCCCCCACAACCCTCGGCAGGCTTGGCAAATACCTCTGCTCCTGAGCTGTGGGGACAGTGTGGGGGCTCGCCTCAGCACTGGGGTGGACGTCTCGGAGCCTGGTGACCCCTCCAGCCAGCCAGGATCTTCCCCAGGCAGAAACCTCGCTGTCCACTGACCCATATCGCCGTCCGGCACACTCCCATTCCCCGAGTGCAGGGGAGCTGTGGTCCTGGGTGCTGGTCCCTGCCCTCCCCAGGGACAGCATGGGGACTGCCTGCTCGGCTCCGTGGCACATGTCCTGACAGCAGGCCTGACAGCACTGAATTCACAGCCTCGAGGCCAGTTACCCTTAAGTACCTCTGAGGACAGCTGCGGCCAGGAAGTGAAGCCTCCGGCTACTTAAGGGTCATCTCTCCATGACCTGGCCCCGTCGCCTCCCCGCCCCCTCCTGACAGCCCTGAGGAGTGTGCACACAGATGGCTCCTGAAGGACAGACAGCAGCAGGCCTCGCTCTCTGCCCTCGATCAGATGCCCAGTGGGCTGCCGGCCAAGTCAGCAATCCTCTGACTGCTCCCAAGCGCGTAGGGGCGACGGGTCTCGGTGGGGCTTTCCTGGGGTCGCAGAGGTATTCCCCTGCTTGCTCTCCCGGCCTGCAGGCGGCCAGGAGCAGGCAGCTGTGCACCAAGGATGTCTCCCCGTCCACACAGAGCCCCGGCTCGAGGGGAACTTGTGCTTCCATCCCGGCTTTCTCTCCGCGTGTCTCTCAGCAAAACTGTTCACAGTGGAACTGACTTCTCAAGTCTGACCTCATGCCAGGCTGCAGAAGGCCCCTCGAGGCCTCGTGGAGAGGTAAAGGGTCGGAGAAGACTGGGAGCCAGAGCCAGGACCTGCAGCAACTGGTGATGAGGCAGAGTCTGCCTGTCTTCTCCACCAAGACCAGCAACCCCTCCCATGAGGTAAAGGACTTCTCCTTCCAGTCGCCATTTAACACACATCGACCTTGCACTGCCACGTGCCAGCCCGTGTTAGCACGGAGGACCCTCGGGTCATGAACGACTGAGCTATCTGGACACACATGACGGGTACGGCGCCACATGGAGTCACAGCAGGGCAGCATTTCAGAGGTGGGCCGGCCCTCCGCCTTGCCAGCACATCCATACACCCCCGTTTCATGACTCCTCCACTGTGAAAGCTTCTGTGCCATCCACCTAAGGGACACCTAAGAAACTGAGCAAGTGGGGGCTGCTGGCTGGGGCTCGCTCCACGGGCCGAGAGGCTCCCACCGAGCTTCAACACAGAGTGGGGTCCAGCACAGGAGGCTCGAGCTGCCTGCCGGAGCCCAGGCACACCCTGGGGTCATGCCCTGGCCTGCAGCTGACTGGCCCAGATGTGTGTCCAGGCACGTGGGTCTGTCTTCGTCCATTTTTATTTGTGGCTGATTGGGTGGCGTGGGACATGGGACTAAGGAGGCCCCTTGATCCCTGGGTTATGCTGCTCATGTGCCACAGGGAGACTGCACATTCAGAGCTGCACACTTGGCGTCTGAGTTTTTCACAAGGACCTGCAAGGGCGTCTTGGTCCCCCGTGAGGATAAGAGAAGCGGGGAGGTCAGTCACTTCCCGACGCTCACACAGCCAGCAAGAGCCCTGGGCTGGGCCTCGACAGTCACAGAAGCTGCCGTGTGACATCCCCTCAAGCTGCCGCCTGATGCCTCCCAAGGAGACGACCCGGAAGTGCCCCAAGGATGAGGGCGGCTGTGCCTCATGGGGCCTAGGGTTCGGGCTTTCCTGGAGCACTTCTCATGGTCAGAAGTGTTCCTCTCAAAGGGAGGAAGACCGGAGAAGGCAGTGGCGTGTGGCTGTCCCACCTTCACTCATCAGACACGTCCTCCCTCCCTCGAAACAGTGCAGCCCGCTGGGCCAGGCGCTGCCGTGAGCCACACGGAGCCCACCTGGGCATCAGGAGAACTTCAGCCCTGCGATGTGAGGCTGATGTGCAGGTGGCACTTCTCCCCTCCCAGGAGAACAGGCCCTTTGAGCCAGGAGGCTTGTGGCCCCCACAGCCCTCAGCGCCCGGCACAGACCAGTCCCTGAAGGCTGGCCACCTCTCCTCAAGGCCCCTTGCAGCCGTCACTCAGCCGGAGGAACTCTGCTCCCACAGGTTTAAGAATCGAGGTGTCACTCCTCTAGGAAAGGCTGACACCCTAAATCAGTATCCAAATACCGATGGGGGCTCGGCGTTCCGGCCCTATCTGTCTCCTTGCTACAGAGTCCCTGAAGTGAAGCCCCTGGCACCCACCGACAGCTCGGGGTCCTTCTATAAAACTATGCAAATCACTGTACTTACAGATGCTCAGCTGGGTCCACAGCCAGGCGCTGGTCTTTTCCGTTTGGTATACTGTGGTCAATAACGATTGTTTCTGTATTTGCTAAACAAAATCCATTGGACCTCATGATTTCTGGAAACGAAAGGAGTAAGGTAACTATTCAGAAGGGGTCAGATTTTAAAGTTGTGAGGTTTGTACTGATCTCCCTACTTCCCTCTCCACTCCTGCCCCCCTGCTCCCCTACTTTAAGAGAATGCTCTGCTCCCCCAAGGCCCAGTCTAGAGTGCTGCCACACAGATTCAGGAGGCACAGGAGCCACACCTGCTGACCCATGCAGGCCGAGAGGCGCATCTCTCCCCACGGCAGGATGCTTCGGCTATCCGAGCGCCCTCCCCACACGCCCTTCCCCATGGGTTCAAAGCTGGGCTGAAAGGGTACTGGGCTCGCGTCTATCAGTCTGAGTTGCGTCTAGGTCCCTCGCACACTGCCATGGGGCTTTGCATAGGTTACCCCATCTTCTAAGCTCCCACTCGTGTCTGAGACACAGGGGATATAACACCATCGACACCCTGGGTTGCTGGGAGGATCAAATGAGATCAGCATGCATTTTAAACCAAATGGGTGACTTCACTTTTGTACTTTATATAATTCTGTATATAAACTGATAATCTAATGAAAAGCATGAATGGTGGTAATTTAAAAAGACCAACAAGAAAACGTCTTCGTATGTCTACGTGGGCTCTGTGGTGTTAGCTTTCAAGGGTGGAAGTCTGGTGCTCATGCAGTGCTGGAAGAGGTGGGACCTGGGTGCCTGAGAGTGTGGCAGCTGAAACTCCCGGGTTGGGAACTTGGACCCCGCAGCTCAGCCCAAAAAGGAGAGCCATGACCCTGGGACTCAGCATCCTCAACTGGAAAATTCCACAATTGTATGGGATTATCTCCAGGGATCCTTCCAAATCTAAAGTCCCATGACTCCCCGTTCTACCATGCCCTCTGGCCCATTTAAGTATAAGTAGCAAGTGCAGCTCGACCCACTTCTAACATCTGGTGTAGCTTTCATTTCTATTTCCCGAGCAGACGACAGACACTCCAAGAACAGATCTGGAGCCATGACACTCCTCCCAGGTGTTGCCGTTCTGCAGCTCCCTGAGAGGCTGCTCAGCTCCTGACCTCAGCTCTCAGTCAGCTCACGCTGTGACCCTTGTTTGTCCTCCCAGGTCAGGCCCTCTACTTACTCATCTTAAAAAACATGCTTAAAATACACTCCAAATTCCTGGTGCATTCTCAGATCCAAAGGATTATTACCCTTCATTCAGGGCCTGACACACGGGGACACACAGCTCACTCGAGCCCGTCCTCGCCTCCCTATGCAGATCAGGCGACAGGCACACTCCTCCCGGCCTCTCAGTGGGCATCTGACGCTACGGCAGTCTGTGGGGCTGTCTTCTTTACTTTATCTCTTACATTTTACCACAATTTAGATTATTTTATTCCCATGTATGGATTGTCATTTTTTATAATGAAATTAATCTTCTGCTTATTTTTAATCTTTCTAGGTATTTGGTTCTCAGTTCTTGGAATTTCTCTCCATATGAAGAGAATTAGGGAAACTACACAAAAATGAAGAGAGAAAAACGGAAGATTTCCTCCTCACCCCACAGGATTAAAATGACTGTTCATCAACCAAACTTGCCAAGTAACTGCTGAAATTTCCACTTGACTTTCTGGAGAAATGACAGCTCATGTTTCATTGGTCTTTCAGCTGCACCAGCCCAGTTAGTCACCCTCCGTGTGACATGAGCACACGCTGTCTCCTGCCCTGCCCTCCCTGGTGGAGCCCCCAGGCCCCTCTTCCCTGACGGAGAACCAGCACGGAGGGCCTGCTGTGACAAGAAGGAGCAGAGAACCAACGAGAAGTCAGAGCCTGGACCCTCCGGGGTGGACAACATTTCCAGTGCAAGAAAGACAAAGAGAAGATGTTCACTGAAGCCTGAGTGGACAGACAGACTCTGAAGCTGACCCACCTGAAGGGAAGAGAAAGATGCCCTCGCCTCTCGGATTAAAATGCAGGCAGCACAGAACCACTTTCTTTAATGCTGTCAAAACTGACTCAGCTCTGTCCGTCTCAGGGAGCACATTGGACCTCAGTGGACCGCAGTGCAGCCTGCCCACAGCCCCAGCCCCCTTCTCCCACCCCTTTGCCAAGGAATTAGGGGAAAACCCTACAAGTGAAAACAAATGTCAGTGCCGCCAAACATTTGTGAATGTTATGGAAGAGATGCCTTACATAGCAACTTTCTAATCTTCTGTAAATGTGAAGTTTGGAGCTCTAGAAAATGGAATCTTTACCAGCCCCCAAAACAGACTCGTAACAAATCATTCCTTAATCGTCTATGCAAAGAAGCCTCTGTGCACAGAAATGTGGTCTAATGGTTTGCAAGGCCAGCTGGGCCCTCGAGGAAACTCCAGTTCTGCCATGCATGCCTGGGGAACAGGTCACTTCTGGCTCAGTTTCTTCATCTGTAAAATGAGAATAACAGTACCCATCCTGAAGAGGACAGGTGTAGATTAAATGAGATGGTCTTTGTATGGAACCTAACAAATGCAGGAAGCTCAATAAATGGTAGTTATTACTATCATTGTTGCTAATGTCTTCCTATCTGTTGCAACATGCAAATGAAAAGAACCGAAGGAAATGTTACAATGACAGAAAAACTATACCATCTGAAGCCCATTTCCAGCATACTTAAAATGTGAATTTTTAGAAGTCAGTTTAATATCTATAGGAAAAATTACTCATGAATTTATTTACTTTAATCACATACATGACTGATTCTATGAAATAGCCCATTTTCAGGCTACTTTTTTACATTCATATTTTTTTCACATGAAGAGTCCTGCTTTGCCACCTCATTTTTTTTTACTTTTTATTTTGAACTAATTTTAGAATTATAGAAAAGTTGCAAAAACAGAATAGAGTCCTCACATATCCCTCACCAGCTTCCCGTCATGTTCACATTTTACATAACCACACTACCACGAGCAAATGCAGGAAATTAGCATTGGCACCACACTACCAGCTAACTCCTCCCTCCCTCCAGTCTCACCAGCTTTTCCACCACTGTCCCTTTTTCTGTTCCACACCCAACCAGGACCCCTTGTTGCATTAAGTTGTTGTGTCTCAGTCTCCTAGACCTCTGACAGTTCCTCAGTCTTTCCTCAACTCTCAGGACCTAACACTTTCGAAGAGGGCTGGTGAGTTACTTCATCAATATTTGTCTGACGTTTTCGCGTGCTTCAACTGAGGCAGGGCTCCTGCAGTGACACTGTGTTCGCTTGGTGCATCATATCAGGGGAGGGTATGTGACATCCACAGGCCTGACTGCAGGCATGTTGGTCTGGATCACCTGGGTAAGGCGGTATCTGCTGGGTCTCCAAAGTAAGGTTACTCTCTTTGTCTCTCTAGTTAAAAAATATCTTGGGGGAGATCTGCTGAGACCGTGCAATTCCTGTTTCTCCTCAAACTCCTGCGCACCAAGCTTAGCACCTACGGGTTGGTCTCTTCTGCAACACTCACTGCTCCGGAGTCTGCCAAGGGGTGATTTTGTGTCTTTAAACTGCAGCCGGCCCACATGCCACCGTCCCTTCAGCTCATTAATTCTTATGCTCCTTTTCTCCGCAGACGGTTAGTCCCGACCCCGGAGCATGCGCAGTGCAGCCTTCCTCCCTGTCGACCGCCCCCCCTCGCATCATCTTTTCACTGTACCCCAACAGCGGGACGAAACCCAACGCAATGCCTTTTCATTGCCTGGCTAACTGAAGCGTTATCCCTGCAGGGTGAAGATTAAGGCTGAGATTGTACAGAGGCCTGGTTAATGAAAAATGAAATTATAGTTCACTTCCAGGCCCCATAAACCCAAACAATCAGAATTTTGTGGCTGATATCGATTAGTCCGAGCAGCCAGATCAAGGCTGATGTTTATTCTTCCTCTGAAACTGCACAGACACAGCCATGGGACAGAAAACTAAATGTACGTTTTCTTAGATTTGATAAGCATTTAAACTGAGATGGGACAAAGAATGCTGAAGGTTGTATTGGGCCAGGCACCACCAACCAACGAGGCCACATACTTCGGGACGGCCCTCGCTGGAGCGCCAGTGCGCAGGATCCTCACGCCGCGGGCCCCTCGCGCCATCTAGTGGCAGCAGCCTCAACGTGTGAAAGAACAGGCAGCGCGTGCAGAGGCGGACGAGTGCGAAGAGCGGCCTCTGGCAGCAAAGGGTGTCAGTCCCGTCCCCCAGGGCACCAGCTCCCTAAGCGCCACGCCAGCAGCTCAAGAAGGCATTAAGACATCTGAGGGGCGAGGAGGCGAGCTGTGAGGTCACAGCAAGCGAGGGCGTTTTCACGAAGGAATGGAACTCAGCAGGACAGGAGCGGACGTGGAGGCGGGGTTGTGTGAACAGGAAGAAGATGGGAGGCCCCACACAGGCCGAGCCCAGCCCAGAGGAGGCTGAGGGTCGGGGTGGAGGGTTCTGGGGTGATCAGACCAGAAAGCTGGAGTGAGCCAGACTCTGCTGTGCCTGGAATGCCTAGGCACTTCCGCTTTATCCTGAGTGTAAGGTTTTGAGAAATCAATGAGCCCAAGAAGTCAGAGTCCTGGATGACCGACGTTGGTACTCAGGGTCGGTCCCGGGGACAGGGGAAGGTTGACAGAAAGATGGGTGATGTCCTCAGGCCGTGGGGTGCTCTTCAGATCCTGAAGCTCAGAGCTGGGACCCCCAAATCCAGCAACATCCCAAATGTGGGACCAAGGCTGAACAACACGGCTTGCCCGCGTGTGGACTAGTTCTTCAAAGGGATGGTGGTGCCCTGGTAAATAATAGTTTCACTAAAAAATAATTTTGAATTTACCACAGTTCCTTGTCTTTCTTCACTCAGTGAATAACCAAGGACACCTTACATCTCACAGGAACACCCCTCACCACTTGCACATCTGCACACTAATTTATGTTGGGAAGCACCCATTCAGTGAGGGCTGGCTGGTGCTGGAGCAAAGACGGGAAGGGTGGGAGACTCCAAAGGGAGACCCCTAGACTTGGTGCCTAATGGATTAGAGCAGAGGAAGAGGAGGAAAGCCCGGGAGGCAGAGGAGCTCAGCTCTGGAAGGGTGCCTGAGGCTCTCCACCAGCCGGCCACCTCTGCAGGCACGCATGTGACAGGCCTCCGGCCTTTGCACCCAGGCCTGAAGCTTGAGGCAACAGATTTGCTGCAGACTTGCAATTGACGTTTACTAACCCCACTGCTGGGCAGCCCCGGCTGTTACAAAGTGTCCTGTGCTGAGCCAAAGTCGGCTGCAGTTACTTCCACACACTGCCATGTCGACGACGAGCATGACACCCAGGATGACCTGAGCTCCTGGCTGCCTCAAGGAGGTTGTGACCCCTGCCTTCCCAGGCCTGGACGCAAGGCCTCACTGATGCTCAGGTACGGTAGCCAGGTAAAGCCTCTGTCCTCAGTCCTCGCCAAAAGGCACTGAGAAAGCATTTACAACCTCAGCATGGGACTCGACGCTTATCCCTGTTAAATGTCATCTCATTACTTCCAGCCCTTTAGGATAAACACGGGGCATGTGTTCACCAAGTCACTGATAAAAACAGGACAGTAAGACAGAGGGCTGGGGATGGTCCAGGTTGTTGCATTCTAGGAGTTATTCGATCAGAAGCAACTCCATGCAGCTCGAGTCTGTCCCTTTTGCATTCTGGGGCCTCCAGGGTCAACCTGAAGCAAGAGTCTAGCTCCTGCCACCACACGAGGCCCTGAAAGGATTCTGCTGCTCTATGCTCTCATATCTGCTCAAAACAGCAAGAAATAAAGCAACACAGAAACTCCAGAGCTGGGACTCCCACTCAGGACCAAGAACAGAGGCTTGCCCGCATTCCTGTGGACAGCACGCAAAACCCAACCCAACTGACATAGGGCTCCAGAGCCCTCACTGAGCCCTGAGAGCCTCAGGTCCACGGACATCCCACCAGGATAAAGGACTGCCATCTTCCTGCCTATGGAGAGGGCTCCGGATACCACGTGCCAGCCAAGGAGGCCTCCCAAACTCCCCTGCTCTGCTTTCTGAGGACACACAGGAAGCTGTCTTGGGTAGATGTCCAAAGTGGCAGACACAGAAAGGTTCTGGAAAACCCAGCCCTCCCCCTACACCTGCCCATCACGCTCACCTGAGATTTTCACCGGACTTTGAAAGCTGGGTTGAATTTTATGTACGTTGTCATTTTTTAACACCTGATCCAGAGGAGATCTTTCAAAGAAGGTGAGCACGACTTCTGACCTAGAATACTGGGAAGAAAGACGCTCGTTACTAAAATTCAATCCTGCCGCAAGGTGGCCCGTCTGACGCCCAGCCCGAGAGTTCAGACCCCCCGCAGGGCTGACCACACAGTGGGGCTGTGATGGCCAACACTGTTCCTTTATCTGTGGCCCCATGTGGCTGAAATGCAAGGTCCGAGGGACAGACAGGAGGGGTTAATGGCAAGAGCGGCTAGTTTGTCTGAGTTCTTGGTACGTGCCAGTGTTTCGCACACATCCCCCTTCACTCTTCAATAAACTTTCCTGAATCACAGATGAGGGAGTGGAAGCTCCGGAGATAAGCAGACCCCCTCGACCCCAGTCCAGCTTCTCAGTCGATACTCCACATGAGGCCAGCAAGCTTCGTTTAAAGGCCGCCCACCTAGGTCACCGTGAATGCTGCCCTCGGCTCCCACGTGCCCTCTTCTAAAACACCCTCGGCAAGACCAGTGGCTTCTGAGCGGAGGAAGAAAGCAAAGACCACCGTGGCAGACGGGCCACAGCCTCCCTGCTCCAGCCTGCCTGGCCCCTCACCTCCACCTTTTCCCCAGGGAGCAAAAGCGGAGCCACTTCCGCCACCCACAGCCTGCACCTCCAGGGAGGGGGAGCAGGTCAGTCACGTGGAAGCCACAGCACGTGCCCCCAGCTCCCAGCCCGGCAGCCCTGCGGGGACCGACCTTACACGGCATGCCGATGATGGTCTTCAGCAGCTTCTCCACCTCGTTCAGCCTGGTCTCTATATCGTGGGCCTCCTTTATGGCAACCAGTCCTAGAATTGAGACAGAAATGCCTAAGTCAGAAAAGCAGACCAGGAAATGTGCTTCTACATTAAATACAAGACAACAGGCACCCCACGACGAGGAGGGCCTCCCCCCGTGTCACCCTCCACGAAAGAGTCTGGGAACATTAACTCAGCCTCATGTGTGCACAGCCATACTCTGGAAGCCCTGCTCACAACCTCCGCCTAAGCTTCAATAACCCGATGAACGATTTACTTGTGTGCTGGAGTGGAAGTTGTCCTTCCAAAAGGAGAGGTCTGGCAGGCTGGGTACAGCGGAATGAGTGGGGCAGGCAGGCATAAGCCATAGCTAGACCGAAAAAGCCCCCTCTGAGCAGCTCCATAAACACTGGGGACACAGCCAGAGCTCAGCTGGGGACCACTCATACCCCGCCAGTGTGGTGGCTGCAGCCAGGGGAGGTGGCCCAGGACCCAGCCACCTCCAATGATACAGCAGAAGGACTTGCTCTGCTGGCAGTGGAGCCCATATTTAGACAAGTCATTTAAATGCAGGTTTGGAAGGGAAAAAATCTGATCTTCACCCGGAGAAAACCAAAGTGGGCATGACCCAGGACGCTTTTCAGGAATCTGAGCCTCTGTCCTTGTCACAGTTACCAGAAGTCCTGGGTGGCTGCTGGAAAGGGCAGTCTTGTGTTTTTAAAATGCTCTCGCATGGAGATGCGGGGTGCGCTTCTGTCTCCCCAGGAGCAGCACAGAACGAAGATCCTCCCACCAGTTTCTACGCATTAGCTTCCAGCGATGAGAAATGAGGTCGCAAGGACCCGGCCTCTGCCCCAGACTCCATGTGGCTCAGGATGACTGTCCCTGTGAGCTGTGACCAAACCACAAAGGCTGAAATCCCACAACTATCATCAGCTGCTGAATCTAGGTTTTTCATAAGTTCTGGTTTCATTTTGTTTTACAGGAAAAAGAGTTGTTCATTTTTCAGGCAACTCACTGACTGAGTCTACATAAGCGACAAAACTAATCTCCTAAAGTCCATGACAGAAATGAAGAGGCCCAGAGCATGTGGTCCCTGGAAACCAGGGGCGCCCCCAGACACAGGGCGAGGGCATTTCTGAAGGCCTGGTTATAGCGGGTTACAGTGGGGGACCCTTCATGATGTCACCTGGAGTCGCGAACAACTTCTGGTCAAGGCCAGAAATTGTTGCCTTGACTCCCTAAAGCACAGGCCACCTTAGGGGCAGGCGACCCTGCTCGACAGTGGGGCTCCTGGGCCTGCCCGACTCCTCAGACACACAGGCCCCGGTGGCCCGTCAGCACTGTTCAGGGAGCAGGAGTTCTAAAGGTGGCTGGGTGGGCCATGGCTCACCCCAGGGAAACCCCGGGCCTCTGTCCATGAGCCCATGCACATACCTCAGCACAACGCGCTGGCTGTCACAAGGGAAAGGGACCCCGCCACCTTCTCCCCTCTCTCCCAGGTGGCCCAGGCCCCCCACACCAACCTGCAGGTTGGGGGAAGGAGGGAGAAGAAGGAAGAAAGCACCAGAGTGTCAGATCCTCTGGATGCCTCTTCCCCAGGTCCTGAATTCTTTGCCTAGAATTTCAGATACACACACACACACACACACACACACAAAGGCACGCGTGCTGCTCTTTGCACCAAAATGCTGATTTCCTGCTTGCAACAGAGATGTCTACGGAGGGAAAGAGGAGGATCAAAATCCTCTGAAAGTGGTTTTTAAAGAGAGGAGTTATACAGATCATCCCACGAGCGCTTCTTTATTCTAAGATGAGCAGAACTATTATTGCAGTCCAGCTTTACTACAGCCAGAAGATGAGTTTTAAGTCAGTCACGTCTATGACACAGCAGCTGCATTTTCATGTTCCGTACGTCCGTCTGTAGGAAGACTGGCCTTTTGCATGGTCAATGCATACGACACATTTATACCCATTTTACAGGATATAAAGCATAATTTAACAATCTCAAATGAGTATACAGGCTTATAATTCTTGTATCTTTGCTGCAATGACAGATTTTTGGTTATACCTTTGATTTAATTAATGTCCAGCCCATGGACTGGTGCATAACCTCCAAGGGTAAGACTTAGATAAATACTTTCTGCCCTATACTGATCTTTCCGGGTAGCCAGACTCAGCAAATAAAACACAGGACACCTAGCTAAAATTGCATTTCAGATAAACTATGAATATTGCAATAGTGTGGAAGGACTCACACTAAAAAATTATTCATTGTTTATCTGAAATTCAAACCCGACTTAGTGTCCTGTATTTTATCTGGCAACTCCATCTTCTACATGACTCGTTTTCCACAATGAAGTGGAGAAAGACAACTACATGTGGGCCTCAGAAACGGTACCGGTATTCTGGCTCGGTGCAGGCCCTCCCGGATGGGACCCGGCCCACCTCCCTGCACTGTGCCCTGCGACTCGGCCCACCCTCACGCCAACCCCGAGGAACTGGTCTATGCTACCCAGACCCAATCCGCTGGGGCGGCGCCGCCCACGAGGAAGGGCTCCACCAACTCCCCCGGATCCCTAAGGGTGGGCGCCGTCCACTGTGCAGCCTTCCCACACCCGGGATGGGACCAGTCTGCCTCTGGGCTCCTCCGCGCCCTTCACCGCTCGCCACTGCACCTGCTCCTTCACCTGAGGGTGGCCCCGAGTCCACAGGTGACCCTGAGGCAGAGGTGCCTCCGCTCCTCTCGCCATCACCAGTTTTCAGCACAGAGCCTGACACGAGCAGGGCATGCAGTGTTTAAAGTTGACACAGGGGCTGGCGGGTGGCGCAGCGGTTAAGTTCCCACGTTCTGCTTCGGGGGCCGGGGGTTCGTGGGCCCGGATCCCGGGTGTGGACATGGCACCGCTTGTCAAAACCCATGCTGTGGCAGGTATCCCACATATAAAGCAGAGGAAGATGGGCACGACGTTAGCTCAGGGCCAGTCTTCCTCAGCAAAAAGAGGAGGATTGGCAGTAGTTAGCTCAGGGCTGATCTTTGTCAAATAAATAAATAAATAAATAAAATAAAGTTGACACCGGAGCACGGAGTCAAGAAGTCGCTCTCTCCGGGGGGCGCGCTCCATCCTGCCCGCAGGGTGCTGGCCCTGCTTCATGCTCCCCCGCATCACACTCAGCCAGACCCCAGCCAGAATCTTCCGCTTGGCTGGCTCTGGGTCACAGGCCGCACAGGAGAGCTGCCCGGGGACAAAGTGGCAGAAGTGTGCCGAGTCACGGGCTTGCCGGTTTGCTCCCATCCGTGGAGCAGAAGCTCACGGCTTCCTTGCGCCTGTCTCGTGTCCTGAACCGCAGCCCGCGGTACCCTAGGAAACGCGAACACGCTTCACAACCAGCGGAGGTGAGGACCTGTAAACGCGCAGGGAGGATGCTGGGACCCCTCCCTGCAAGAACAGGCATGACGGGTGATCGCTTTTCAAGCTCTGGCTTTTAGTTGGGGCACTTTTTTATCATGGACTTCCCCATCACGGGTCCCTGAGTGACGAGCTGGCGATCTGGATCAACTTTTTTGAGGTGCTGTCCTCCTTTCTCTGAGGAAACCCACCCCCGGGAACGTCCAGGATCGCTGGCCTCCTCCCTACGAGGAGCCTCAGCTAGTCAAAGGCAGAGACCGGGGAAGTGATGGGCTCAGCCGAACTTACCGAAGCCCCACAGCGGCAGGACTGGGCGGACCGATGCCGCCGCCGCGCCCCCGGACTACGAGCCCAGCGCTGGGACCATCACACACCGCAGGCCCCCGGCGCAGGCCCCCCGCGCCAGCGGAGCCCCCAGCACCCAGACGAGGGCAGGAAGGAGTCACTGCTCCCCAGGTGGCTTCCAACTGCCTGTCCCTCTTAAAACCCAACCTTCACATTTCTCTTCTCTCCTGGGCCCCGGATATCGCCCTCCTTCAATTGTTTTTAAGTGTTTCCCATGAAATGGTGGGTACATTAAATGTGTTGGGAAAATATTTTAAAAAGACAAACAAAACCAAAACTGCCGTCTGGGGCCACAGTGCAGAAGTGAAATAAAACTTCATTTTAAAATTCCTAATTGTTTCATACACTCGGGTTCCTCCGGCCAGGTTTCTCAATTTCACAACAGGTGGAAACCTTAAACTCCTGCTAGTGAACCCAAAATTATTATGATTCTCAAAAGGATAGAGCACTGAAAGGTGAAGTGTGGGCAGAACCCACATTTGGGACATTGCGCTATTTTTCAGGGACAGATGACAAGAACTATGAGTCCGCAAAGTACTGGTACCCCAAACTAATTACATGCATTAGGGTTGCTTTTTATCCTATCTTGTATTTACCCTTGGTGACCGAAGAACTTTGGCTCTTAATGGTCAGTATAGCTTTCCAAATATCAATTGTTTACAGTAAATAACAATTTTAAACCTTATTTTCAAAAATGTGCTTAAATACAATAATTTAGGATTATCTAAAACTTTTCAGTTTATATTCCCAATATTGTTGATGGAATGAGAATTCTGTGGGGATCTTGTTTGACTCATTTTTACTATCTGAGATCATAATAATAAAAACTACAAGTAGAAAATGATTGTGAATTTGCACAGTTGAACAGAAAAACTCAAACCTCTCTTGGTTATGAGACTGTCGTTCCAGGACTGACCAGCAGGGGATGCTCGCACTCTGCAGAAGCCATGGATTCGGTCCAGTCAGGACTATAGGAAGGGACAATCCTCCACTAACCACATTCAAACACTTCCATCCGGAAGTTGACTCAGAAGACTTCATTGCCCCCGGAAATTTCTCTAATTTCCAATAAAGCATAATCACTAATATAACATCAACTTTAAGAATTTCCTCTATACAACTTGTGATGTGAAAATTTTAACCAGAGTTAGCCCAAAACAGTAAAAAATTTGAAAGCAAAGGATTGATACCATGATTGTATATAAATCTCAGTGTGCCAATTTCACAGACATTTGGGGGCTAAAAATCAGCCAAGAGCAGCTGGGGTGCCCTTTCTTTCTAAACTAGTTTAGCCAT